AAAGCAACAGACAAAGGATTAATCTCAAAAATATACAAGCAACTCCTCCAGCTCAACTCCAGAAAAATAAATGACTCAATCAAAAAATGGGCCAAAGAACTAAACAGACATTTCTCCAAGGAAGACATACAGATGGCACAAAAACACATGAAAAGATGCTCAACATCACTCATTATCAGAGAAATGCAAATCAAAACCACAATGAGGTACCATTACACACCAGTCAGGATGGCTGCTATCCAAAACTCTACAAGCAATAAATGCTGGAGAGGGTGTGGAGAAAAGGGAACCCTCTTACACTGTTGGTGGGAATGCAAACTAGTACAGCCGCTATGGAGAACAGTGTGGAGATTTCTTAAAAAACTGGAAATAGAACTGCCATATGACCCAGCAATCCCACTTCTGGGCATACACACCGAGGAAACCAGATCTGAAAGAGACACGTGCACCCCAATGTTCATCGCAGCACTGTTTATAATAGCCAGGACATGGAAGCAACCTAGATGCCCATCAGCAGACGAATGGATAAGGAAGCTGTGGTACATATACACCATGGAATATTACTCAGCCATTAAAAAGAATTCATTTGAATCAGTTCTAATGAGATGGATGAAACTGGAGCCCATTATACAGAGTGAAGTAAGCCAGAAAGATAAAGACCATTACAGTATACTAACACATATATATGGAATTTAGAAAGATGGTAACGGTAACCCTATATGCAAAACAGAAAAAGAGACTCAGATGTATAGAACAGACTCTCGGACTCTGTGGGAGAAGGTGAGGGTGGGATGTTTCAAGAGAACAGCATCGAAACTGTACATTATCTATAGTGAAACAGATCACCAGCCCAGGTTGGATGCATGAGAGAAGTGCTCGGGCCTGGTGCACTGGGAAGACCCAGAGGGATCGGGTGGAGAGGGAGGTGGGAGGGGGGACCGGGATGGGGAATACATGTAAATCCATGGCTAATTCATGTCAATGTATGGCAAAAAACACTACAATATTGTAAAGTAATTAGCCTCCAACTAATAAAAATGAGAAAATTTTTAAAAAAAGAGGCTTTTTAGTTCCTCTTCACTCTCTGCCATAAGGGTGGTGTCATCTCCATATCTGAGGTTATTGATATTTCTCCTGGCAGTCTTGATTCCAACTTGTGCTTCATCCAGCCCAGCATTTCTCATGATGTATTCTGCATATAAGTTAAATAAGCAGGGTGACAATATACAGCCTGGATGTACTCCTTTTCCTATTTGGAACCAGTCTGTTGTTCCATGTCCAGTTCTAACTGTTGCTTCCTGACCTGCATACAGGTTTCTCAAGAGGCAGGTCAGGTGGTCTGGTATTCCCATCTCTTTCAGAATTTTCCACAGTTTGTGGTGATCCACACAGTCGAAGGCTTTGGCATAGTCAATAAAGCAGAAATAGATGTTTTTCTGGAACTCTCTTGCTTTTTCGATGATCTTGGCAATTTGATCTCTGATTCCTCAGCCTTTTCTAAAACCACCTTGAACATCTGGAAGTTCTCGGTTCACGTATTGCTGAAGCCTGGCTTGGAGAATTTTGAGCATTACTTTTCTAGCACATGAGATGAGTGCAATTGTGCAGTAGTTTGAGCATTCTTTGGCATTGCCTTTCTTTGGGATTGGAATGAAAACTGACCTTTTCCAGTCCTGTGGCCACTGCTGAGTTTTCCAAATTTGCTGGCATATTGAGTGCAGCACTTTCATAGCATCATCTTTCAGGATTTGAAATAACTCAACTGGAATTCCATCACATTCACTAGCTTTGTTTGTAGTGATGCTTTCTAAGGCCCACTTGACTTCACACTCCAGGATGTCTGGCTCTAGGTGAGTGATCACACCATTGTTATTATCTGGGTCATGAAGATCTTTTTTGTACAGTTCTTCTGTGTATTCTTGCCACCTCTTCTTAATATCTTCTGCTCCTGTTAGGTCCATACCATTTCTATCCTTTATCAAACCCATCTTTGCATGAAATGTTCCCTTGATATCTCTAATTTTCTTGAAGAGATCTCTAGTCTTTCCCATTCTGTTGTTTTCCTCTATTTCTTTGCATTGATCGCTGAGGAAGGCTTTCTTATCTCTCTTGGCTATTCTTTGGAACTCTGCATTCAAATGGGAATATCTTTCCTTTTCTCCTTTGCTTTTCACTTCTCTTCTTTTCACAGCTATTTGTAAGCCCTCCTCAGACAACCATTTTGCCTTTTTGCATTTCTTTTCCATGGGGATGGTCTTGATCCCTGTCTCCTGTACAATGTCACGAACCTCCGTCCATAGTTCATCAGGCTCTCTGTCTATCAGATCTAGTCCCTTCAATCTATTTCTCACTTCCACTGTATAGTCACAAGGGATTTGATTTAGGTCATACCTGAATGGTCTAGTTGTTTTCCCTACTTTCTTCAGTTTAAGTCTGAATTTGGCAATAAGGAGTTCATGATCTGAGCCACAGTCAGCTCTTGGTCTTGCTTTTGCTGACTGTATGGAGCTTCTCCATCTTTGGCTGCAAAGAATATAATCAATCTGATTTTGGTGTTGACCATCTGGTGATGTCCATGTGTAGAGTCTTCTCTTGTGTTGTTGGAAGAGGGTGTTTGCTATGACGAGTGCATTCTCTTGGCAAAACTCTATTAGCCTTTGCCCTGCTTCATTCCGTACTCCAAGGCCAACAGTTTTGTTTAAAAGAAGAAAGAAGAAAAGTACTGGCCACGTGAGGCATTTGTGAACTCTTGCATCCAATCTGCCCCAGCTCGAAGTATCTAAGACATAAAGACACATTCTAAGACATAAAGCTTTGGATCTCAGTCATCCTAACCCGAAAAAAACAGAAGAGCGCTCACCTTGGCAGCACATATACAAAAACTGGAACAATGCAGAGATCAGCACAGCCCCCACACAAGGACGACTTGTGAAGGCTTCCAAATTTGTTAAAATATTTATTTTTAATTGATAAGTCTTCCATATTTTTAAGGATAAAACAATGAAGCAACAAGAAGAAGCAAGGCTGTGGCTCTACCCACAGCTGTTTCTTTGCTTTCCCTCCTTCACCCTGCCATTTCTCAGGAGGCTGCCAATTCTATACCCATTCAACTGACTGCACATGCCCCCTGGTCCTCCTTTAATGGGCATGTTTAAGGTTGGGCAGCAGGTGCTTAGTTGGAGTTGCTGTAAAGTCTTAATGAAGGCTTTGGACGGCTGTCCTAACCTTCCATGGGGCTCTGCCCACCTGCCAGGAAGGAAGCCCTGGGGCCAGCACGTTCTTATCACAGGAGCCTCAAGGAAGGGATGGATTACCAGCCATATGCAAAGCAGCCTCTGCCACATCTTTGCGATTTTCTTTTTTTCCCTGTGGACCGGTCAATTCTTGTCTTCCCCATTCCATCCCACCCATACCCAACCCCGTTGTTACAATGTTAGGAACAAATGTAGGGCCTCAGCTGAGAACTGCAGGAGTTGGAGTCACACCCATCTTTCACACGTTTTCTCCTTCTCCAGTCCTTTTTTTCTGTTCACTTTCATTGCCTCACTTTTCTGTTTAGTGACTTTTTATACCATGTTTGTTCCTAAAGTGGAAGCCACCTGAAGTCCTTTTGGGAATGAGGCAAATGCTTTTAAAAATTAGGAAAACATTAGCTTTCAAAGAACTCTCAAATTCATTTATCAGCAAATTAGTGAAGGCGTACTTTCTGTATGTTCTTTTAAGGGTAAAACAGAAAAAAGTAACAGAAATGCAAAACACTGCCCCTAGCGAGAGGAAACCTATTCAAACAGCAACCAAAACACTGGAAATAAGAATTTCTCCCTACCAAAAATAAGCTCCCAACTCCACATGTCTGTACAAAGAAAAATATTGAGGAGAGCCTGTAATAAATTGCTCACTAATGAGAACCTACTGTATAGAACAGGGAAGTTACTCAGTTCTCTGTGGGGACTTAAATGGGAAGGAAATCCAAAAAAGAGGAGATATGTGTATACAGGTAGCTGATTCACTATTCTGTGTTAGCAGAAACTAACACAACATCATAAAGCAACGATACTCCAATAAAAATGTTAAAAATTAAGTGCTCAGCAGAAAAAGAAAAGGGAGGTAATTGTCCTCTGCGCGGGGCACAGTGGCGCGGGTAAGATGCCCCTTGTGCCTTGGACCATTTTGGCAGCAAACTGATGGGAAGCCAGCGTCTTTGAAACGTGAAAGCAGACTTGTCGGCTGAGAGGATGGGCCTTATCTGTCAGATAATACTTGGATGGTCCCTGCGGTGAAAGTGACCCCCAAGGAGCTGTTTCACAGCCCAACCCCAGAACTTGCCCACGGGACCTTTATTTGGAGAAAGAGTCTCTGCAGATGTCACTGGGGATCCTGAGATGAAGTTGCCCTGCATTTCCCAGACGGGCTGTCACCACACTGACACGTGTCCTCATGAGAGACTTATGGAGGAGAAGCACGCGGGAAGAAGGGCCTGTGGGATGAGGCAGAGGCCTGGGTGATGCGGAGCTGGTGGGGGAACCTGGGGTGGGGCGGGGCGCAGCGGCCTGAGCGGACCCTCGGTCCGCTGTCCCTGTGTGGCCTCCTCCACCGAGGCCGTGCACATCCTCGGCATCAGTAGCATCGTCAGCGGGGCTGGGGCACCACCTGTTCAAACACAAGGTGGTTCTGAGACCCCCTATCGGTGTTAGAGAAGCGTCTGTGGTCCTCCTGATGTCATGGCTAATGGACTCCAGCAGTCAGCTTCCTCATGTAGAAAGGGGATACTCCTCACCGTTTACAGGGACAAGCTTCAGGGCTGGATGCTTCTGCGTCTCCTCTAAATACAACTCTTTGCAGGAAGATGCAGGTGTCTTAGAGACTCTGGGTCCTACTGGCCAGGTGTGTCTACCAAGGGTGGTCGTGTGATTTCCTTCCCCTCTACAAATAGGGAAAATAACTCCACCTGAGTAGGCAGGATTTGGACTGATTTGGCTTTGCTTTGTTTTATTTTTCAGGCCAGGCTTCGAATGCCAAAAGAGCAACTGGAACTTTTAAAGTGAGTGAGATGTTCTCGTGTGTGTGACTTTTTGGTGTCTGTCCAAACACTGGAATGCTTTTGTAAAATTATAAAACTAATTTCTGCTTCTGTGGATCCTTCTTGAAGGGACCATACACTGGGAGGTGCTTTCAGTATTATTATTTTTTTAATGGGATAAAATTAGAAAAATAGACCAGGGTTTAAATACCTGGAATGGAGAATTATTAAGCCATTAAAATAATTTAAAAATACTAGTGGGACACAAAATTATTTTGTTATTTAGTACAACTTTTTTGCCTTGGATAAAAACTTTTAGAAAACCTATTAACAGTTTCTATTTCTTCAGCAGTTTTGCATTTTTCAAATTGTGAACATAGATTGATGCATAAGTTTTTGCTTTTTTGTATTTTTTAGTCACTAAGTCATGTCTGACTGTTTGCAACCCCATGGACTGTAGCCCACCAGGCTCCTCTGTCCATGGGATTTCCCAGGCAAAAATGTTAGAACGAGCTGTCTCTCCCTTCTCCCGGGGATCTTCCCGACCTAAGGATTCAACCTGCATCCCCTGCATTGCAGGCAGATTCTTTACCACTGAGCCGTGAGGGAAGCCCATGTCATAAACGGGGGAAAGAAGTGGCTTCCCTGCTAAAGGGAAGGCCAGCGGATGCAGGAGACGCAGGTTCAATCCCTGGATGGAGAAGATCCCCTGGAGGAGGAAAGGACAACCCACTGTAGTGTTCTTTTCTGGAAACTCCCATGGACAAAAGAGCCTGGCGGCTACAGTCCATGGGCACAAAGAGTCAGGCACAACTTAGGACCACACACACACACACACACACACACACACACACACACACACACACACTCACTAAGTATTAATAGCACTTACATTTTTTCAACATAAAGAAACACCCATTGGTTTGAGATTTTCTTATTCTCTCTACCAGTAACTTTCAGACTGGACAAGTAGCAGAGCCGATTCTTGGGAAGTAAAATCTTGCACCCTTGAGCTGGTGGAAGGCAGTTGCCCCACCCCCACCTCTCTCCCCTAAGCCCCCACCCCTGGCCCCCTGAATCTTTCAGTCACTGGTTCACAGAATCTCAGAGCTTGGTTGGGATCCCCCTGCTCCGTACCCAACTCAAAGTGCAAGGTGTCCTGACCGTGAGGCAGTGGGAGGGGGATTTAGGGCACTGTGAAGTTGCCCAGCTCAAGTCGGCGTGGCCTCGATCCCCGCGGGAGGACTGGGATGAGTGAAGTCCTCTGAGCCCCCTCCCTGCACAGAGCGCAGCCCAAGCCTGCGATGCCCTCAGGAGTGCTTCCTGGAATGTCTTTGCTCCTCATATACAGCGCAGTGCAGTTCTCTAGAAAAGGAGGTATCGCCTGGGCACCCCTCACTCAGGGTTCTCTCTTCTGCAATGTAAAGCATCCTTTGGTTTTGCTGGCCCTGAAGCCCAGCATGGGGCTGGCGGGGCGTCCACTGCTTCCTCCTTTCACTGTGAAGGTCTCCATTCACAGGAAAGAGAGCCAGACTTTGGAAAACAACTTCCGGGAAATTCTCTTCTTAATTGAACAAATAGATGCTCTGAAGGTATTGCTTAGAGACACACGCGATGGTCTGCACAATCACAGCTGGAATGCCGACGGAGACTCCGCTGAAGGCTGGAACCACACCGAGATCATCGACGAGGTAAGTGAGCCTGGGACGGAGGCAGGGGCTTGTCCACTTTCAGAAAGTGGACAACTTATGTGATGAGGAAACGTAATGATGACTGGGATGTGTGGTCTGTCTTCTTCTTGAAAATTCCTTTTCTACATTAGCTTGTAAAGTGAAGTGTTAGTTGTTCAGTCATGTTCAGACCCCTTGGACTGCAACCCGCCAGACTCCTCTGTCCTCAGAACTTTCCAGGCAAGAATGCTGGAGTGGCTAGCCATTCCCTTCGACACAGGATCCTCCCGACCCAGGGATCGAACCTGGGTCTCCTACACTGCAGGCAGACTCTTTACCATCTGAGCCATCAGGGAAGCCCCTACTTTACTTTTACTAAAGCTCACCCCTTGGAAGCACACTTTTTCATAATTGCTGTGTCACAGGGAAAATTTTGTATTGCAGTAAGACAGACTTCCATCCAAATAAGTAATTGACTCTATTTTAGTTTGCAGTGAGAAAGAAAAAAAAAAAAAGACTGCTCATTCACAAATGGCAGTCTCTGAAAGTTTATACACAGATACTTAAATAGTAAAATATTTTTATTCAGGGACCTAACGCTAGTGTATCTGACCTAGTGAGCACCAGATCAGGCAACATGATGATGAAGACCAAGAGCCTGGTTTTACTTCTCCTTCTGTTAGCACTGGCTTCGTTTCTTTTTCCTGAGATTCTGTTTTTTGAAATACACATACTGCTGACATTGACCACCACTGCCTCCAAGCCTCCATCCTCACGGCCCTGGGACAAAGCGCTTTGTCATTTACAACTCAAACTGTTACATTCTCTCAGGATGCTTGCTTTCTTAGACTCAGAACATCCTTATAACACAATATTGATTTAAAAGATGAATAATTTCTAACGCAAGCAATCGGGTGCTCTGTGTAAACTGCCTCGATTCCCAAACACCTACAGAGCGTTCCAGTCTTTATTACTAAGCAGGACACTGAAAGGGGGCCCCCGCGGGTCGCGCACACAACCTCACTGGGCTGTTCCACTGTGTGAGCATTTCGGGGTGCTCGTCAGGGGAATGACATCCAGCCGTCCTCCATGGCCTTGGCAAATGGCCCAACACCTCTCAGCTCCCTGTGAAACATGGATCCCACGGATCTGCGGAGGTGATAGGAAGAACCTGTGTGTGTTTGGCAGAGTAGCAATATAGTCAGTTGTCAAGACTCAAGAAGTTGATGGAGATTGTTAACAGGAAACTCTTTTTACAATTTGTACAGGAAATGTCCAGCTTGGTGAATTACATACTGAAAAAGCTGAGAGAAGATCAAGTCCAGATGGCTGATTATGCCCTTAAGTCAGCAGGTGAGTAAAGAAATGTTAAGCTCGGTGTAAAAAGTCAGGACTTCAGAACGATCTCTGTTCACTAGTGTCTGTGAAGAGGACCACAGACAAAGCCTGCCTGCCACAGCAGGTTTAGGTATGCATCACAAACTTCGTTGCATTTTGTCTTCTACATACAAAAATGACTACTCATGACTAGTCTCGATGCACCATTAGTGATTAAGTGATAGTGTCTCAAGACTGTCTGTAATGTCCTTTTAAAAAAATTTTTTTTCTTTTATTTTGGTCTGCACTGGGTCTTCGGTCTGCACTGGGTCTCTGCTGCTGGGCCAACTTTTCTCTAGCTGCGGTGGGCGGGGACTGCCCTGTGCGGTGCGTGGGCTTCTCCTTCCGTCGGTGTCTCTTGTCGAGGAGCAGTCTGTAGCCTACAGGCGCTTCAGTGATTGCAGCACGTGGGCTCAGAAGCTGTGCACGGGCTTAGTTGCTCTGTGACTTGTGAACCTGGACCCCCGGCCTCAGGAGTGCAGTCTTAGCCGCTGGACTGCCAGGGAAGTCCCCGACGGGGTTTTAATACATGTAGATGTGACAACTCTTGACGAAGGGTCAGTGGGTGAGGTTAAAGTGACCTCTGTGGTTATAAAATTTTGAATTTTACACAAATTGGTAAGATACTAAGTGTAAATTGACTTTGAAAAGTTAGTTATGTGTATTAATATTGCCAGAGCAATCACTAAAAAGAACACGAAGTATGTATAGAGGGAAGTTACCTCAACATAATAAAGGCATATATGAGAAGCCCACAGCTAACATCAGACTCAGTGTGAAAAGCTGAACGCTCTTCCTCTCAGATCGGGGTCTGGACAAGGATGCCCGCTCTTACTACTTTTGTTCAGCATCGTATTGGAAATCCCAGCCATAGCAATCAGAGAGGAAAAGAATTAAAAGGCATCCAAATGGGAGAAAAGTAAAACTATCACATTTGCAGATGACATGATACCATATATAACCATAAAGACTCTGCCAAATAATTATTATTTATATAGAGATCTACATACAGATTTACATAGCAAATCATCAAAACTCTGTTAGAACTAATAAGTGAAATTAGTAAGTTCAACTGTATATATTTCATTTTTAAATGCTCATGATCAGAAATTGGAAAAAGAAAATTTAAAAGCAGTCCTATTCACAATGACAGTGAAAGACATGAAATTCTTGGGTATAAATTTAATAAAATTTTCATAGGATCTATGTGCTAAAAACTGGACAGATGAACAAACAGAACCCACAAATGGAAGAAATAACAGAAGACCTAAATGCTGGACAGAGCTTCCATGTTTGTGGATTAAAAGTTTCAATATTTTTAAGATGGAAATTCTAACTAGTTTATTGATTCAATACAGTCCCAATCAAAATCCCAGCACAATTGTTTGTAGAAGTCTATGAACTCTTTCTAAAATAGCTGAAGCAGTTTTTAAACAAGAACAAATTTGGAGGACTTACTGATGTTAAGCTGCAATATTATAAAGCTACAGTAATGAGAGTGTGAAATCAATGGAACATAATAGAAAGCCTGGAAATAATGCCACACTAATTAACTTTTGACAGTGGGGAAAAAGCAAGTTGATGGTGCTCAAAGAGTTGGACATACAGTTCCAAAAGGAAAAGAATGGATAATTTGGGCTTCATCCAAATTTAAAGCTTCTGCTTGGCAAGAAGACATTGAAAAGAATGAAAACACAAGTCATGGGCTGGGAGACAGTATTACAAACCACATAGTTGACAAAGGACTTTTATCCAGAATTTATAAACACTCTCAAACTTCACTATTGCAAATCCTGCCTTCTCAGAAAAAGCACTGGTGATCTGATATTCACTCATATTTGTGTTTTTTTGCTGTATTTTGTTACCCAGATGGAATTTAAGGAAGTGATTTGCATTTTATTTCTTATGTATAAAACACCTCTTCTAAAATGAAGTAATTTGAAGAGATAATATTTAATGAGTATATTTTATATTTCTTTGATTAAAATTAAAGCTCAATGAATCTAAAGAAAGGCTATTATAAACACAACTTGTTTATTTACGACACTGTTGGTTTTTCTGCTTTTGTTTTTGAGTGAATCGGGCTTATTTATCACACAAGGTGTTAAAATGTGGGGATCCATATGTTTCTTTAGGTAATAAACACAATCCACCTAATAGTTCCATGTCTAAATCAATGGCTCCAGATTTCATTTTTTTTATCATAATGTTAGTTCCAGAAATTTTGTGAAACCACAGAACAAACATGATTTTCTCAAAGTGACAAGATTTCAGTGGTAATGAAAGCTGAAAATCATACTTTTACCACCAATTTCCTGGTATGAGTTTTACCTCTTCGTAAGTTGCCCAGTAATAGTTTTCCAACAACATTAAAATCTAAATGGTGCTTTGAATTGTGTGTTTTTTTAATTTAAAAAATTATTTTATCATATCAGGAGCCTCTGTTGTTGAAGCTGGGACCTCAGAAAGTTACAAAAATAATAAAGCAAAACTGTACTGGCATGGGATTGGCTTCTTAAATTATGAAATGCCTCCAGACATCATTCTCCAGGTAAAAGTTAGATTAAAAATAACCTGTTTATATTTTAGGATCTTGTTCCTATTATTTATCACGAAAATATTAATGTCTGAAAGAGATGCAGCTCTGAACTTGTCAGAGAACCTGAAGCCATCTCCTTGCATTTTTATAGTCATCAAAATACATTATTTCTTATTTCATGGGCAGAAAACTATGATTAGCTAATTGATTACCATTTTAAGATCCGTGAACTAGACTATGTACTTCTCAAATAGGACGTACATGTTCTGTATCTTCTCTTAAAGCTGATCCTGTAGTCTTCCTTTTCCACCAAAAACTTCAGTCACTTGGCAAATATTTGTTGAAGGTGCATGACCCCTGAGTGCAAGTTCTGTGCTGTGTGCTATTCAGGTCAACACATTTTTATAAAGTCCAATTTTAACAGTAGAAATTTCCAAGTAAGATCTTCATTAACATTTCAGTTCAGTTCAAAAGGCACTTGATTCCAACCAACAGTAGAGCTCTTAACCGTAATTACACACCTGGATTTATTCCCCATTCAGAAATACCTTCGGGGCGGACCTATAACTCTCAGTCCAGAGTACAGTCTAGATCCAGAAAACAGTGGGCATCATGTTTCTGCCTTAGCACCAGTGCCAGCATTGCTGTCACCACCATGATCGTCTCTATCATCTCTATTATCATCATCACCAACATTACATCCACCATCACCACCATTGCCACCATCATCACCATCATCATCACCCATCACCACCACCATCACCACTACTATCACCACCACTATCACCTACCATCACTACCAGCACCACTATCACCAACCATCACAACTACCATCACCACCAACTATCACCACCACTATCACCACCATCACCCACCACCATCACCAACCACAACCATCATCATCATCACCCATCACCACCACCATCACCACTACTATCACCACCACTGTCACCACCATCACCCACCACCATCATCACCAACCACCACTATCATCATCATCACCCATCACCACCACCATCACCATCACTAGCACCACCATCACCACTACTATTATCAACACTGTCACTTACCATCACCACTACCACCAGCACTACTACCACCACCATCACCACCACCATCATCACCATCTATCACCATCATAATCACCCATCACCACCACCATCACCACCACCACCACCACCATCACATTAACCATCATCACCATCCCCTGACGTCATCATCACCACAATAATTGCCACCACCCTCTTCATTACCGCCACCAGCACTATCTTCATCAGTGTTATCACCATTCATAGCAACCAGCTGCATCTAGCAGCTTACAGCCTTAATTAGAGCAACAGAAGAAAACATACGCATGAAATAAAGGTTCTGATTGACCTCAGCACACCTGTGGGAATCTGGAAGCTTTCCTGTTTGGTACATCTCACACCATGCCTTCATATTATAGGCATAAGCGAGATCTACAGTCCATAGTGACTAGCTGGCCAACCTTGTAGGAGCAGGTTTATATAAGCACGTCAGGGACTGATGCAGCGTTTTATTTCCAGCCGGATGTCCACCCTGGGAAGTGCTGGGCCTTTCCGGGTTCCCAGGGTCATGCCCTGATCAAGCTCACCAGGAAGATCGTGCCAACTGCTGTTACCATGGAGCACATCTCAGAGAAGGTGTCCCCCTCAGGAAACACCTCCAGCGCACCCAAGGAGTTTTCTGTCTATGTGAGAAACTGTCTAAATCTTCCTTCAGAAGGGATTATAGGAGGTGATCAGCTAGGAATTGGGAGCCAGGGTCTCATCTGAACTGTGCAGCTAAACATTCCTATCACTGTGTTTTACTTCCAATATCTCAGCTTTGTCATCTACAAAGTGAGAGGGTTGGACCAGATGATTACTACTACTTAATGCTATTTTTAAAAACTTTATCCAAGTTATACGTGTGCAATTCCCATTGTTGATAATGAAATATGATTTTCCCTTGTCCCACTTCTCCCACCAATTTTTACTCCCTGGAAGCTTTCACTTGCCAGAGTTTGAGCTGCTCATGTGGTTACTGCCTTCATATTTGCTTTTACTGTCATTCCTTGACTTTTTCAGTTTTGATTGTTACTATTGACTTCCTTGAATGGAAAATGGAGATTAGTTCTCTTCCATGGCTCTCTCAATTCTCCCAAAATGTTTATATCTTAACTTAAAAAAAAAAGAAAACAGGTTTGTTGAGATATAATCCACACATCAGCAATTCAGTCAGGTAAAGCGCACACTTAGTAACTCTTGGTATAGTCACAGAGCTGTGTAACCATGACATGATCGATTTTAGAGCATTTTTACTGTTCTCCAGAGAAACCCTGCACCCCTTAGCTGTCGCTTCTCATCCCCCACCTCACTGCCCAGCCACTGACCACCACCAATCTATTTTGTATCCATAGATCTGCCTCTTTCAGGTGTTGCTGCTGTCATTTAGTCTCTAAGCCATGTCCAACCCTTTGCAACCCTTTGGACTACAGCCTGCCAGGCTGCTCTGTCCATGGGACTCTCCAGGCAAGAATACTGCTCCAATACTGGAGTGGGTTGCCATTTCCTTCTCCAGGGGATCTTCCCAATCCAGGGATAGATCCCCTGTCTTCTGCTTAGCAGGCAGATTCTTTACCACTGAGCCACCTGGGAAGCCCTATTTTGGATAGTTCCTATAAAATGGAATCATATTCTATGTGAATGGTTTTTGTGAATGGCTTGTTTCACTCAGCATAATGTTTTCAAGGTCTATGTGTGCTAGAATGTATCAATATTTCATTTTTAATTGCTTAATAATATTTTATTATATGGATAGACCCCTTTTTATTTATCCATTCAGCAGTTGCTGGACATCTGAGTGGATCCCACTCTTTTGACTGTTATGAACAGTGAACAATGTTGCTGTGAGGCGCTGTGTACAGGTTTCTGGGGACCTCGGTTTCATTTCTCTTGGGTTTGTGCCTCGGAGCAGTTTCTAGATCACGTGATGAGTCTGTGTTTCCTGTGTGAGATACTGCCGGATGGTACACCTCAGCTTCCATACACATCCAACGTGCTCATTGTGAATCTGTGAACAGCATTGTTCTTAGCTGAGTCGTACAATGCCCTTGAATACATTTTCTTTTTTAAAACCTTTTTATTTTGTATTGGGGTATAGCCTATTAATAATGTGATAGCTCCAAGTGACCAGCAAAGGGACTCAGCCATACATATACACGTATCCATTCTCCCTACACTCCCCTCCCAACCAGGCTGCCACATAACATACAGCAGAGTCCTATGAGCTCTACAGTGGATCCTTGTTGGTTATCCACTTTAAATATATCAGTGTGTACGTATCCATCCCAAACTCCATAACTATCCCTTCCCCACATCCTTCCCAGTGATCAAACCCATGTTCCCTGCATTGCAACGCAGACTCTTCACCACTAGACCCACCAGGGACATTCCTTTATTTTTTAAAGATATCCCTCGGGAGCACTCTGCTCACATCTCTTCCAAACTGGTGCTGGTCAGGCCTGATGCACAACTGTTATCAGGGGATTTCAGCTCCACTCTCTGAGGATTTGACTTGTTTTAAATCTATTGTGTTAAAAATGTTTTTAATCTTACGTTTCTTCTTTGATTTTCTGTTTTACTGTTTGGAATATCTAATCAATTTGTATTTTAAACCTTATGCTGAATTTTAAAATTCTGCTGTCATGAATATTCTATGATTTTTTTTGCAAATGATCCCTTTTCTAGAATCTAAATATCTTCCTTCATGGTTGCAATACCTTCCCTCCAACGTCTGAAGATATGAGCAGATGTAGTTTTGTTCCATGCTTTCAGTTCCTGCATATACTCCCAAGTACCTCCCTTCCTGTTTATAATATGGGCTTCATCTTCCTTGCTAAGTGCTTTTCTCGTGGTTTGGTGATGCTTGTCTGTCTCACTTAAGAGCTGAACAGTCAAAAGCGGGCTTTTTCTGCACACATTTACGGGCAAGTTGACAGCAAGTGTCATAGCTAGATGGTCTGGTTGGAGACCCCAGAGTATGGTTTCTAGAAGGGTGACCCCAGGAATCCTACAGCCTTGTGCCCAGGGGTTTTCAGCTCAGCTCACACCCTGGGTCATGATAGGCTCCGCCTTCCCCTCTTATTTCTGCAGGATGCTCTTGAGGTCAGTTGTCCTGGAGGTGGGAAGAAGAGACAATTCTTTTCTGGACCAGGACAGGAGTGCTGGCTGGGCTCTAACTGCTCCTTAAAAGGCCCATCAAAGGAACTTCTGCTAGTACAGCGGGTGGGAGTCTGCCTGCCAATGCAGGGGACGCGGGTTCAATCCCTGGTCTGGGAAGATTCCACTTGCCGAGGGCAGCTAGAGCCGGCGCACCACAGCTACTGAAGCCTGTGTGCCTGGAGCCTGCACCCTGCAACAGGAGACGCTGCCGCCGTGAGAAGCCCGTGCGCAGAGACTGGAGGGTCGCTCCCGCTCACCGCAACTAGAGAAAGCTCGCACACAGCGGAGACCCAGTGCAATGAAAACTTAATCACTTTAAAAAAGATCGTCAGCCCACCCTCAGATGAGGGGACTCCCAGCTTCATGCTTGGCCTGCACACCGTGGCCCCACCTCTGGCCCTTTCTGGCCTTTCTGGCAGCACCAGCTCCAGCACGCTGCTGGTTGCCCCTGCAGCCCGAGGAACCTGAGCTTCCTCCAGGCCAGTGCACCAGCTGCCATTCGGCACCTCCAGATGCTTTTCTCTTCGGGTCTGCTCCCGTGTTTTCCTCAGAGGTTTATGCCTTACTCCATCCCCTCTGGGTTCCGCTCTGAAGGGGGCTCAGAGTTAAACATGGTGCTTAGCCTGCTTTTCACTCTCATGAACTGGAGAAGGAAATGGCAACTCACTCCAGTGTTCTTGCCTGGAGAATCCCAGGGGCGGAGGAGCCTGGTGGGCTGCCGTCTATGGGGTCACACGGAGTCGGACACGACTGAAGTGACTTAGGAGCAGCAGCAGCCTGCCTTGTGTGTTGTTTGAACACCTTTATTTGCCGTGAGTCTTGAGTTATAAACACAGACTGCTGTCCTTTCAGTGTCTACAGACACTTGTAGTGGAGTTATACTCAATTAGAGCAGATTGAACCCTGTCTCAGAAAAGTGCACACAGTTGTTCATTAGAGAGGAATTATGAGTGAATCCTTCAGGCAAGAATCCTTTAAGAAATAGACCATATTTAAAAAGTGAAAAAAAAATCTTTTTAGTAAGACAAAATACTTCTCATTGTTTTTCTCAATATTAGCACATTTATGAACCAAGTGAAATCAGAACAGGATCATAAAGGTTTGAAATAAAACTGGCATGCCTGTCTGAACAGGCTAAAGGAACTATATGAGATTATATATATATATATATATATATGGCAAATATGAAATATGTATGTTTATATATGTCAATATATAGAGACATTACTTTGCCAACAAAGGTCCATCTAGTCAAGGCTGTGGTTTTTCCAGTGGTCATGCATGGATGTGAGAGTTAGACTCTAAAGAAAGCTGAGCACAGAAGAACTGATGCTTCTGAACTGTGTTGTTGGAGAAGACTCTTGAGATTCCCTTGGACTGCAAGGAGATCCAACCAGTCCATCCTACAGGAGATCAGCCCTGGGTGTTCACTGGAAAGACTGATGCTGAAGCTGAAACTCCAATACTTTGGCCACCTCATGCGAAGAGTTGACTCATTTGAAAAGACCCTGATGCTAGGAGGGATTGGGGGCAGGAGGAGAAGGGGACAACAGAGGATGAGATGGCTGGATGGCATCACCGACTCCATGGACATGAGTTTGAGTAAGCTCCGGTAGTTGGTGACGGACAGGGAGGCCTGGCGTGCTGCGATTCATGGGGTCGCAAAGAGTCAGACACAACTGAGCGACTGAACTGAACTGAGCTGATATAGATGAAAAGTATATATAACTGTGGGGGCATTATTTAATCATGATGTATCCAATTCTTTTATTATCTATTTATTTTTGGCTGCGCTGGGCCTTCCCGGCTGTGCGTGGGCTTTCTCTAGTTGCAATAAGCAGGAGCTATCTCTGTTGCAGACAGTGGGCTCTGGGCTCGCAGGCTTCAGTAGCCGTGCACATAGGCTTAGAGCTGCAGCTTGCAAGCTCTGGAGCGAGGACTCAGTTGTGGCCCACAGGCTTCGTTGCCCTGTGGCGTGTGGGGTCTTCTCAGATCAGGAACCAAACCCACATCTCCTGCATTGGCAGGCAGATTCTTCACCACTGGATAACCAGGGAAGTCCCAGTTCTTCTACAAAATGACTCATAGTTTAAATATTATGATTTTCATTACAAAATGATTGAGCTCATGACACTTTATTTTTTGTTGTGGTGCTATGATTCAAAGAATCTAACCATAAATTTTAGATTTACAAGATAAATTAATTTCCACCAGTGTGCCCTCTCTCCTCAAAAATCTTCAGTTTTAAAGCGGAGAAAAGGAAGGTCAAAAGCCCAAGGGAAATTGCATACACATATCAACAAAAGCTTACTTTTTGGATGGAGCTACTTGTGTGATCAAAGTTCAGCAAATTGGTGAAGTTTAATGCATTGTGGGTCGATGTGGGGGCTCCTTTTTTGGTTTATTTTACCCAAAGCACAGTAAACACAGTTCGGAGGTCAGAGTCAGTGCTGACACGTGCTGTCGTCTGTCTCTGCATCCTGTCCGCCTTAGTCCGTTCAGCCCTCTGGTTAGGCTGGTTCTTGCCGCACAGTCCTCCCCCCACACATGCCCAGTGCTGACAGGCAGCGTGGCACTGTGTCCCTGGTGGACACCCAGAGATGTCTGGGGAATTGTTTCTCAAACAGACAACTGACTCCGTTTATTTTAACCAAACACACTTTCATTACAACCTCCGTGTCTGTTGCTTTCTTTACAGGGCATCTTGAAACAATGTGAAGGAGAAGAAATTTTTCTAGGTCAGTTTGTGTATAACAAAACAGGGACCACCATTCAAACATTTGCACTCCAGGTAATGAGAGCCTTGGGAGAAGGGGCGGTATCCGTGGCTCCATCCCCAGGAGGGATGTGTGGGGTTGCTTCATGTAAAGTGGTGTGTGAGAATAATTGTGACAAAAATGTGAGATAAGCAGGCCTTGTCTGAATTCCTGTTCATAAGTTTTAATGCAAAAAAAATAGGCAAATATAACACAAAAGTTGTTTCCAAGACAAATTTTTTTATTATTTGCTATTACTTTTATATATACACACACAAACTCTTCTTCAGTCCTTATTTATCAGATTCCCTTGATAATATTTAATGTGACAGTCACTATCTTCCTCCATGGGTAGAGGGAGTGGGAATGATGGTACAAAATGAGATGACTGGAGGCAGAGAGGAATTCAGAGAGAATAAATATTTCATACCAGACAGTAACAACTTCTTAGCCTAACTCAAAGGGGAAAGAATGCCAGTTGGTAACTTATAAATCCCTAAAAGTCATTAGGCATAAGAAATGTATTTCATCAGTTCTCATTAGTCACAGGAACTAATGAAAAGATGTCGAAGGCATCTCAAGCCATGTAAACAAGAAGTGTGTTACACTTCTTGGCCAGTGGTGAGAAAATCTAAGCTGAAAACAATTTATGAATTGTTTGCCCTTACAATTCAGAAATGAATGCCCTTACAGAGTTTCACATTCATCTGTACATCCACATCTCTCCCTGCCCCCTCCCTGGGGCAGCCAGTCAGGACCATCATGGAGGCAGGAGAAGGCAGTGAGCGGTCCCTGGTGTCTAGACCACCATGCTATCTGCCTTCCCTGTGTCTGCCTTTTTATCAGCTCTTTCCTGATGGTAGAACAGGATGTCACCCATTGGTGCTTGAAAGTACTTGAGTTAAGAAGGAAAGAAAGTGTTCTAATTTTTTTTATTATATGAGCATTACTTGAGATCCTTTGACATAGTTCATTTGATAAGACATTAATTTTAAGCTTTTCTATTTTTTCAGCATGAAGTTCCTGAATTCTTATTATGTGTGAAACTTAAAATTCTCAGCAACTGGGGACACCCAAACTATACTTGTTTATATAGATTCAGAGTTCATGGCACCCCAAGAGATGACAGCTAGAAGAACTGGTGCAGAAGGCCATGATCACAAGTCCAAAATATTCAAGTACTCCAATTCCCTTTGATTATATCACATCCATAGGAATAAAAAATCAGAAGTGGGAGAGAAACCTTAAAGTGGTTCTTACCTGCAGTAAAAAGTGAATGAATTTTACTATTAAAAATATGAAAATAAATTCAATCTCTGCATTAGTGTGGCTTCTGAGGATGAATCATATTGTTGAAGCACTGAAAAATGAGTTCGCATTAAGAAGATGGTAATTCTCAGCACTCTTTCTCATAATAGCATATTTGCTTTCATTTATTCGTTCATCCATACCAGGCATGGATATCTGCTGTTACCACTATTATTTAACACTGATCTGGACACACACTGTAATTAGAGAAGCTAAATAAATTAGAGGTAAAATTTAGGAAGGCCAACCATAATTCATTTACAGATGACTTGATGAATTCCTTCAAAAGCAATAAAATCAATGAAAAAATACTTTATAAACAAAGATGGATACAAAATTATCATATATAAATCAAAATCACAAATATAAACCACAACCAGTAAGAGGATATAATTCACAAAAGCCTCAATGGAAATTTTTAAAAAATCAAATGAAAGAATTAAACTGTGTGGAGAGCCAATAAAACAGCAGTGGATAATGAAAAGACCTAAAAAAATGGAAAGACATAGCCTGTCTATGGATACAAAAACTTCACTGTCAAGAAGTCGATTCTGTCTAAATTGATCCACAAATTCAGTTAAATTTTAATTACAACCCAGAAAAAAAAATTATTGTATTTAGGCCATATGTGAGGGCTTGTAGACTGCCTCAAACAGTGACAGGATTTCAGAGGCCTGTTTCATATCTTTATTAGGTGAGAAGCCACCTTTCTTTCCATGTTGCCTGGTGAACGTGCCCCACGGAGAATGCATAGTGGGAGCCCATGTGTATATCAGCCAGGAGGTGGGCTCTTGTCACAGCAGTGATTTCTGCCTTCTGAGCTGAGCTCCCTGGGGGCAGGGCTTTTGCTTTGATAATCCCTTTAAGTGTTACCACTGCATACCCAGGATCTTCCCTGGTAGCTCAGCTGGTGAAGAATACGCCTGCAATGCCGGAGATCACAGTTCGATTCCTGGGTTGGGAAGATACCCTGGAGGAGGACATGAGTTTGAATTAACACCCTAAAGCTTATACCCTATCTCTCATGTACATAGAGTTTGAGATGCTTTTTAAAGTCTGAGAGTGCCAAAGCTGGGGCTGAGACTAACTTTAACATTTTTATTGTTTTAGAGACTGTTTGGCACTCAAGTCTGAAACAGGAGTTCAAGATCGCGTCCCTTCAATGCCCCTTAGCGGGGCTGCACTATGAACCCATAGTTTGAGATCTAAATCCGACAGAACCCTGCCATTTCCAGAAACCCTCTCAGTTGTCTGTGGGTCTTAGGTGTTCCCAATTCTGCAATTGCTTGCTTCCTGTGAGGCCAAAGACCCCCGCTGTCCTTGAGAGACAGCAAAGCCTAGATACTTGCTCTTTGCATATCTGGGCCTTTTTCTGGGAGGCCTTATATCCACAACTGGCCAAATAGTTCAGGGTCCTGATGGTATTTTGTACACATTTGTCACTTGTAGGACTCCCTATGAGCAACTTATACACATATTGGAATAAGAGCCCTTCATCCAATCTTAAATTTCTAAAGTCTCTAGCCAGCATCTCCCCAAACAAGCTAGGGGAATTCTTAAATCCTTGAGGCAGGACTGTCCAGCAATACTGTTGGACTACCTGTGTTTCTGAGTCTTGCTATTCAAAAGTAAATAGATGGCTGTGATTTTTCTGTAATTGGAATGTAGAAGAAAGCATCTTTTAAGTCCAGGACTAAGAACCAGCCATATTCTCCTGGAATAGTTGTAAGCAGGATGTATAGCTCATGCGATAATCTATCAGCAATGCAGGAGATCTGGGTTCGATTCCTGGGTCGGAAAGACCCCCTGGAGAAGAAAATGGCAACCCACTCCAGTATTCTTGTCTGGATAATCCCCTGGACAGAGGAGCCTAGCAGGCTACTATCCATCGGGTCGCAAGAGTCAGACACGACCCAGTGACTCAACCACCATGGATTAGGTCCCACAGGGTATAAGACTTCATTAACAGCCCTCAAATCTTGGACAGACCGATAACTCTGTCGAGTCTGGCTTCTTGACCAGGAGGATTAGGGGTGTTATATGTAGACCTGCAAGGTTTAATCAGCCCTATTTTCAAAAACTTTTCCAGAGTTGGCTGTATTCCCTTTGGGGCTTCTTGTCTCAGAGGATATTGTTTTAGATTAGGTGTCCCAGCATCCCTTTCTGATGGGATTTGTATTGGTCTTGCTTGTTTGGCCTTCAGTGCAGGAGACAAAGGTGATGCAGGTTCAGTCTATGAGTTGGGACGATCTCTTGGAGAAGAAAATGGCAACCCACTCCAGTATTCTTGCCTGAAAATCCCATGGAGAGAGGAGCCTGGCAGGCTACAGGCTAAAAGGGTCACAAAGACTCAGAAATGACTGACAGACTTCAGCACAGACAGGGTGCTATCAGCCCACACTTCTGGCCTTACCTTTTCATAGACCTCGGTGGGGAAGAACTCTGTCTCCTTCTCTGGGGTTTTCATGAGCATCATTTGTAGGCTCAGCACATGCTCCAGTGGGACCCTGGTGTCAAGCTGTTCTTGGTGGAAAAAGTTACTTGAGCATTTAATTTATAAAGGAGATCTCGTCCCCAAGGCGGGGCTATAACACTCTGACATATAAGAAGTTGTGTTTCAGGCTGAGATCCCCTAATTGGCATTATAGAGGTTGTTAAAGTGAATGGTTTAGTACTTGTCCAGAACTCCATGACTGGGATACACTGGGATGTTTTCTGTGCCACTGTTGTGTTCACTGCAGAATATGTGGCACCCATATCTGTCAGAAAGTCCATCAATTTGTTCCCCACTGGCAAAGTCACCCAGGGCTCCTGTGGGGAAATTAGAATCAGCTGCATCAAGTCTAAGGGAGTCCGTGGGACTTTTCGTTCATTATCAGAGTATTCCCCTCTTTCTACCATGAGAGGCTCCTGTCCTCCTGATATACTTTAGTTTAGGGCAGTCATTTTTCCAGTGCCCACCCTCCTTGCAGGAAGCACACTGCTCCTCCCCCAGTGGTGGTGGCGTGCCTCCTTTGAGGTTATTCGGCTTCTGGGAATCTAATGCTGCTGCCAGAAAGGCTGCCTTCTGGTTTTCATCTTTCTTGCTCCTGCTGTTGTTCCCTGTTGTTGAATACTTTAAAAGCAACATCTGCTAATTGAGAGGGGCTCATTCTAAATACATCATCTAATTTTTGTGATTTTCTTCTTATACCTGAGGCACTTTGCCCAATAAAGTTCATATTTACCATCCTTACATTCTCAGGGGCCTCGGGGTCTGTATCTAACACCATGCACCTCTTGATATGATGCAATGAGAAGGTCAGATCATTGTTTTTGTGGTAGTTCCACTAAAAACATCGCTTGAGACTCATCTTGAACAAACGTGTAGCTTATCAGTTGTGCTTTTGTTTTTTGCTTCCTTCTCTACCTCTCCTGATCTTACACTTACACAGTAGTGCCTGTAGTTTGATAAATCCTTTCTGGAAATTCTGATGGATCTTCATTTGGTTTTTGGTTTACCTCCTGGATTTTGTTTAAGCTCCTTTGTCCAGGTATCCTCCTTTGAATACCCGCTAAGATACATCTCCTTGCAGTGTTCTAAAAGAGGCATGCCTCCATTATTAGGATCCCAGTAAGGTTCCGCAATAGGGACTACCAGATTTTGCTTCTGGAGTTCCATTTGCCTCCACTAGATGGTGCTGGTGCACTTTCTCTCCAGCCCTGTTATTGCCCATCCTTTCAGTCCTGCTGCTGCTGCTGCTGAGTCACGTCAGTCGTGTCCGACTCTGTGTGACCCCATGGACGGCAGCCCACCAGGCTCCCGTCCCTGGGATTCTCCAGGCAAGAACACTGGAGTGGGCTGCCATTTCCTTCTCCACCCTTCATCCCTAGCAAGCATTATATTTATAAAGGGGTCAGTGTCTGCCCAAGTGGAATCAGTTCAGTTCAGTTCAGTTCAGTTCAGTTCCGTCGCTCAGTCGTGTCCGACTCTTTGAGACCCCATGGACCACAGCTCGCCAGGCCTCCCTGTCCATCACCAACTCCCAGAGTTTACTCAAACTCATGCCCATTGAGTCAGTGATGCCACCCAACCATCTCACCCTCTGTCGTCCCCTTCTTCTGCCTTCAATCTTTCCCAGCATCAGGGTCTTTTCAAGTGAGTCAGCTCTTCGCATCAGGTGACCAAAGTATTGGAGTTTCAGCTTCAGCATCGGTCTTTCTAATGAATATTCAGGACTGATTTCCTTTAGGACTGACTGGTTTGATCTTCTTGCTGTCCAAGGGACTCTCAAGAGTCTTCTCCAACACCACAGTTCAAAGGCATCATTTCTTCAACACTCAGCTTTCTTTATAGTCCAACTGTCACATCCATACATGACTACTGGAAAAACCATAGCCTTGACTAGACGGACATTGGTGGCAAAGTGACGTCTCTGCTTTTTAATATGCTGCCTAGATTGGTCATAACTTTTCTTCCAAGGAGTAAGCATCTTAATTGCATGGCTGCAGTCGCCATCTGCAGTGATTTTGGAGCCCAAAATAATAAAGTCTGCCACTGTTTCCACTATTTCCCCATCTGTTTGCCATGAAGTGGTGGGACTGGATACCATGATCTTTGTTTTCTGAATGTTGAGCCTTAAGCCAACTTTTTCACTCTCCTCTTTCACTTCTTTATGAGGCTCTTTAGTTCTTCTTCACTCTCAGCTATAAGGGTGGTGTCATCTGCGTATCTGAGGTTATTGATATTTCTTCCAGCAATCTTGATTCCAGCTTGCGCTTCATCCAGCCCAGCGTTTCTCATGATGTGCTCTGCATATAAGTTAAATAAGCAGGGTGACAATAT